CAATAAAAGGATTATATCGACGATAACTGGCAAAGTATATTTTTAATTAATACACGACGTTTCGACCAGTAATACTGGTCCTTCTCAAGTATCATATTAGATGTGACAGCAAGAAATAGGTGATGTATCAAAGAATACGATTGTGCAGAAGTGCATAGTCAGGAAATGGAATCACTCCGCACAGTAAGAATATAGAGTTAACAAATTAAAAAATTGAACTACTTGTCGAAGTGTCAAGCGTTGTCAGCGTTTGAAGGGACACTGGTCGAAACGTCGTGTATTAATTAAAAATATACTTTGCCAGTTATCGTCGATATAATCCTTTTATTGTCGTGTTTTACCCACTGGCGATCCACCTCTGTCTATTGTTCATCATGAATGTTTATTCGACCGTCTTTAAATTCCCAGCACTTTGTCACTTTATCACGGGACATGACGTTGCTGTAAACAGAAACAATTTCGCGGTAGATGTTGGCGGGCTTGTCATTTTTAGCGATAGCGAGATATCGGATGACGGCTCGCACTTCACACTTGGCGGGATCGGGATTGCAGGGTTCATGTCACGACACGATTCTAACGCAACCAATCAAGCTACTGACCCGCCCGACCGCTTCTTCCCTTCAGTAAGATTCCTTTTTCATCCAGGAATACCAACTTAAAAATGAAAAACTTCCCTCAGCTACAGACACATTGCAACGACCTTAATTTCCGAATATGTCTCGTACAATGTACTCCTTGCGTCTAGAAACATTCTACCTTATATAAGCGAATCAAAACGCTTAAAAAATTTACCGACAACGCACGATTGTACATACAATGTATAATGCACAATTTGTCAACTGGCACGAATTTTTAAGCGTATTTATTGTCTACAAAGTAAAATGTTTCTAGACGCAAAGAGCACATTGTAGATCAGGCTTAAAGGCCGAATCAGACCAGCAATTGCTGGCTCGAATTGGATTGCGATTGGCGATTGTCCTCTAGCCAATGAGAGTCGATTAAATCGCTGGCCGCTTTGCTGTCATTGGCTAGAAGACAATCGCCAATCCAATCCGAGTCGGCAATTGCTAGTCTGACTCGGCCTTTAGCCTAATATTACATTTGTCGTGCGACGAATGTGACACCAGCCTTAGGCCGTCCTCAAAATTGTTCACAATTTCCGCCTTGCGATAAATCCGTATTTTCGTTTTAACCGGGAATTTCCAGCGTCTTTCCGAGTCTCGCTTTTCCCGGAAAGTCGCCTTTTCCGTTTCCACCCTTCGAAAGCTCCAGACTCGCCGCGATATATCCAGTCTACAAAAATACCTCGTCGTTCTACATTCACGAAGCGTACACCTCTTGGAACATACGCCGCCGGCTCCGTAATACACCCGAATCTCTTACATCTCGGGATATAATCGAGAGAAACTGGACTCTGTCTATCTCTCTGTTTCTCCTTTTCTCGCTCGCACATATACACACGTGCCCGCCCCTACGCGGTCCTCCTGCGTGTATAACTTTGGTTTAAAATTAACTCTCCCTCTTTGCTCTTGGCGACTGGCACCGAGACGCGGCACTCGCTCTGTGAAAATGAATAAGAAAAATACGGAAGAAAGGAGGAAGAGGACGACACAGGGCGCTCGCCCTTTTTCCTCCTTCGTCCTCTCCCAGCGAGCGTGCCGTGAGGATTCCATCGTGCTCTCCGACGAGCTGAAATTGCGCGACGCGCGACGGCTCCGGGCGTTGCTCGCTCGTCGCGACGTCTTTTCAACGGGGACGTCGCGAGGAACGAAGCAGTCACGTTTTTAGAAAGAATTGCCACAAATTTCTCAAATGTTCGTCCCGAGAGACGCGACGACGTTAGAACGATCGCCATTTGTCTTTACACGCCAACCTTTATGTATCTGCGTGAGAAACGACAAACTTGCCGTTTCTGCGACGACACTCTCTGTAAAATGAACAACTTGAATGTCGAGCATTTTCCTTTCGCGAGCGCGAAAATTCAAGGCTCCGTTGATTTGCCTCGAGGCCGATCGACTCTTTGTAACAGTGGACTGAAGAAAGCTCGGCGTGATTTATGAAAATTTTACAATTACTTTGCCAAGTCAACCAGAAGGGTGTAATACAAGACGGAAGGCTCACGATAAACGAGCAGAAATTGTCCCACGAGCCTTCCACTTTGTATTACAAATTACGAGCTTAACTTTATTTGGAAAAAAAACTGTAGTTTATAAGCTATATTTTTCTATTGTCCTGTAACGACGGATGGTTTCAACGTGTAACGATTTAATAAAAAGGATTGATCTCTACGCGCATTTCTCGAAATTCATTAGAACCAGAGCGTGCAGCTACAACTCTTGGAGTGGGCGGGGGAGAGGGAGGGGCCGCGTGTAATCGACGAGAGCTGCCGGAAGAAGCGAGCGTCTCGTGCGGATTTTACATACAGAGTGTCTCTCTCTCGCTCTCTCGCTCTCTCTCTCTCTCGCTCTCGCAAGGTCAACGTCCCGAGACGCGGGACACATGGCAACGAAACGGCGCGGGATATTATTACCCGAAATCGCGCGATATCATCGGGGTTGCGGGCGTTGCGGCGCTCCTCGCGTGTATCCGCGCGGATTCGAGGTGCGTTAGAGGCGATAAAGCGCGTGGGAGAGGAGAGCCTCGGCGAGCTGGCACGAGCTCTCGCGTTGGTGGCAGACTCGGGACGAAATTACGAACGGGTTGTTAAGCGAGCGCTGTCCGCGTGGGCTGCGCTCGCGGGTTTTTTTTTTAACGTCCCTTAACCAGTTTCCACATCAACGTTTTCCCGGCTCCGGCCAGGTGGGCCGACGGACGTTTCTATCAGCTGCTCCTTTCTACTTCTTTTCTCGCCTCCCTTTCCCGAGAGACGTGCTCTCGTTTTGTTTTTCGAGCCCAACGTTTGCCGATATCTCCGCGCCTTCGCCTATAATTTGAGAAATATTTTGCACTTTAGCTTCAGTTTTCGGAGCGACGGGACCTAGTTTTAATTGGATCTTTTACAAGTTTGCGATGGACGGAAGCGTCTACTGTTTCGACAGGCGAAAGTCTTTAAAAGCTTTGCGATGAAATTTGCTATGTCTGTTCAGTATATTAATGAGTAATATTAGATTGTAACGTAAACCGATGAACGTGAATGTTAATTAGACGCGTCATTATATTTTAGTAGCTCGTTTAAATTCGCGAACAGGTTTGCGTAATGAATACTCATTACACCACATTTCGTTGATCCAAATTACCTATTATATTAATTAAAATGAAATAGTTATTCCTTGAATCAAAATTAACCGCGTCAATTTGCCGTTTTCTATGATATGACGATTCTTGAATAGTAATAATATTATAGAAAGATTATTTTATTCGTGATTAATATACGTCGCGCCTATCTCATTCTCTCCTCGTGAAAATTCTGCAAGCCAGAATTACTCTCTTTCGCGAGTAAAAAGACGCGAGGAAATGCGGCTGAGATTTTTATCGGGTGTACATTTAACAAACAAAATGCCGGACAACCGAGTCGATTTCCAGGCCCATTGAATTTAACGGCGACAGAAAAATCCCTCGCGCCAGAACGAAAGTGTCCTTCGTTGCCCCTCGTTATCTCGGCACTGCTGCTGCACTGCATCAAACGCGAAAAGTGGAAAGAAAAGACCGCGCGCGGGTAATCCCCGAATAGATTGTATCGAACTGGTCAATCGACTGGACGATTTCCGCGGTCCGTCCAATCGGCCGGGGGTGACTCCTCCAACTGTCGCGGTGCACAGGTGGGTGGTGGCGGTGCGTGGATGGGGCGGGAAGGAGGAGAAGGTGGGTGGATGTGGAGGTGGAGGAGAGGAGGAGAGTGCTCCGGGGGCTCTGGACTAGATCGATAATGCATCTCTTGGCGGGCGTAGTTCCTCTTAGTCACCGGAGGGCGATCGCACCTGCGAGGAGAGATTCCTCGTCCTAGAGCCGCTCTCCGCCTCGCGAGAGAAGGCACTCGCGCGCGTATCAGCGTGCAAAGCGATCCGGGACAGTCGCTCGGAGTGCGGCAGCTCGTGTGTCCACTTGGGACTCCCGTTCGACGCGATTTCCACCGCGTATCTCGGAACGTCCTGCAGGTACGTAAGGTGTCCGCTCGCTACGCGCGCGTGCGGACGAGCCGCGAGCGAGCGGGTGGTTCTTCGAGGGTGATGCTCCCTAAATTGTCCAGCGAATCACGCCGGAATTACACCGTTGTCTCTCGGAGTCGCGTGCAATTGGCAGTAACTTCCGCAGTACGGATGTGGAAAAACGACGTATCTCCTTTGAACATTGCAAGCTGGCAATATGTGAAACGTTCTGTCCCCCCCCCCCCGTGCTCTTCAAGTTTTTTTAATCTGTTGCGCTGAAATTAGTCCAGCCCGCAATTTTCGTGAAACGTCGTCAGTTTCTGGTGAGAATGTTAACAATTTTACGAACTACTCTCCACGATCACGCGATCGTGAAATCAAGTTTGCGATGTAATTCGCGCGATGCTCGCCAAGTGTTCGTTATGAAAAGTCCGTAATTCGTAAGATACATTTTACGATTTTGAATCGAGGCCTCTTGCGAATTGTAAGTTTATCCAGTGCTAAGCTTCTGCGCTCTAAGTAGTACACGAAAAAGTGAGTTTGTAAAAAAACTCGGAAAAACGTAGAGGTCGAAAATGAATTGGTACTACTCGGGCGTCGGTGTACCTTCGTAAAGCAAAACGCGAGAGAACCCGTGAGACCCCAGGGAAGTCAATAAATTATTAGAGAACAGGACGCGCTCACAACGTGAGCGTTTGCTCGTACAAGAATACGTGCTCGCCGAATTCACTTTCCTGCGATAAAAAGCCACGGTGTGGCACTTTCTTGATTGGAGTTGTGCGTAAGAAATGGTATAAAATCGGGCGTGATTTTGATGTTACGTTAAACGAAAGTAACGCGACGTAAGAGATACATGTAACACAGCGAATTGATTCGTCAATGCCCAGCTCTAACTTGCCTCAACGCTTATTCCAGACCCTCTTCAGCAAGCGCTGATCGTGGCGGATAATGTAGCGGACAGCGAGGATTCCGAGGACGAGTGGGATTACTATCGTGTCGATCCGAACAAGCAGCAGGGATCCGCAGCGGCAGCTGTCGCGGCAGACGAGTCCCGCAAAGACATCGAGGCGCAAAGTGCACAGGAGAATCCCGAGTCCGTCGCAAAGGATAGCTCGGAAGTCGAATCTCCGGAAGCAGCGAACGATATTAAATGCGAAGAATTGCTGAACACCTCCTTGCATGAGCTTATCGACTACAACGTGAGTGTTTGTCTTGTCGCTTTTCTTGCTTTTGTCGATAAGGACATTGTCGTTCGGAAATATATATTTCGAATAACACTTTCTTTTTCCAGATAAGCTACAAAGAAAATTCGAGCGAGTCGGAGAAGGAGCAGGTTCTCCTAGATCTACAGGAAGATAAAGAACAGGATAATATGGATTTCCAATTGAATCCGGAGGCGGCCGAGTTTGTGCCGAATTTACCATCGCCGCCGTTACTGAACGCCAGGGATATATTGCAGGATTTTGCCATTAGCGGCTCTCCCCTGAAACAGGCACCGACGATGGATGATATTTCTATACCAAGCCAGAGCGAGTTCGACAAGGAGGTGTGTTACCGACCGAAGGAAATAGGCGAAGAATTCTCGCATGGCGGAGTTGCAGATCTGCCGAACAACACTTCGCAAAATATGGACGTATCCGAGATCTCGTCCACCAAGGCCGAAATGGGCGACGACGAATCTATGATGCATGCCATGTCTACCTCGCAATGGCAGAGTAATCTCTCGTCTCAATGGAATGAAAAGCCGGGCGACGATGCGGGATCCGACTTGGACGAGAACGACATTGTCACCAAGGATAATCCCATGACTATGTCGCTCGCTCCCGGCAACTTTATGGCGGTGTTCGAAAAGGATGTCGATCTGAACGCCGTACACATGTTGGACGACAGTTCGGACGGTGCTGAACAGGCGAACACGCCGCCGCGTTCGCCCGAGCCGTATGCAAACGATCGCGCGCACACACCCCTCTTGGAGGAGAAGGCCGCGACCGATGTCTTACGCGCGTCAACGCCGCAGCCGTCGGACGAAAACTCCGTGTCCACTGTGAGCTCTGAGATTAGCTCCGAAACGAAGGCCTCTTCCCTCTCAGCGACAATGCCCGAAAAGGAGAGTGATTTGTTTTTAACTGCTCCAACAAATCCATTCAGTTCGCTTGCGAAGAACACAATTCATAATATGCCAGGGATAGACGTGGAAGGATATTATTCCTCCTCTGATGAGTTGCAAGTGAAGGATGATTGCTCAACGCAGTTTGAAAAACCCATAGAAGAAGCTCACGAGGAGAGTGCAAAATTAACCGAGGGGGACAAAGAAGAAGAGAAAGAAAAGTTATGTAAACTTGAAGATGATAAAGACATTTTCACTACGAATCCAGCAGAACAGTCGTTGCGGAACTATTCGGATATAATACAAGAGGACAGTATACAGACGGAGTCCGAAATGCCGAAAACTCTTCCAGATTCAACGAATTATTCAAATTTTAATGACGAAATACAGGACTCAAAACAGCATATCCTGCAGCAGCCATTCGAAAAGATGCATCCAGAAACGGTGTATCGCGATAATTTCTCCTCTGAAATTGTCTACGAAAAAGTGGACGTTTTTCAACAGAAAAGTGCCGATGCCGCGTTTACGTTCGAGGATGATGCTTGTTTCTTTAAAGATAGAAGAGAGAATGAAAAGTTGTTCGATACAGACAAAGATGATGACATTAAACCGGACAGTACAACTAATTCAAACTTATCTGACCCAACGCACAAATCAGTGGAGGACGAGCTACAACATAAAAACCAGATGTTCGATGGACACGTGCCGATAGAAGCCGCAACGCTGATCGACAAGCCAACCGAGCAAGAACAAGCAGAGACAAAAGCTGTAGAATTTGCACTGATTAACGTTGCTGAAGAAAAAGTCGTTTCCGAAGGTATTCCTTTAAAAGAAGAAGAAAATGAACCGCGGGAGACTGCAAGAGCATCACCGGAAGGTGCCACAACGCTAGACAAATCGAAAGAAGCAACGGGAATCACAAACGCATCAGTGGGAGCCGTTGTCGTTGCAACGGTGGCGGCCGCTGCCATTGCGGGTACGGCCAAGGCGAAGACGCCGACAAGTGCGAAACGTCCAATGAAAACTACGACGTCGAGAGCAACAGCGGTGTCGACAACGAAAACTCTAACGAAATCGACGCCAACCTCGCCCTCCAAAACGATCAGCGCGGCCACGCGAGCAACTACGACATCAGCAGCGCAAACGGTCGCGAAAAAATCCGCTACGAGTACCGCGACTCGTCCCAAGCAGTTAGACGGATCAGCCAAAGCGGCGGTCTCGAGCCCCAGCGCTAGATCCACAGTTACGAAGACAGCAACGTCCAAAGTCGCGACAACAGCAGCGACGAGAACCAGCACTTCCCCGCGTGTGAGCTCTGGCGCAGCGAAACCAAAAACTACCACTACCACCTTGTCGAAGGTGAACAATGGAGCACCGATCGAGAAGAAAACGACGATGAGCGGTGACGCCAAGTCCATTAGCAAACCTGCCAGCGCGAAGCCAACGAGCGCCACTCTCAGAACAACAGTCACCAGTACGACCGCGAGAACTGCGTTAGTCAAAACAACGTCAACGACCGCGAAAACGTCGGCGCCCAGTGCAACGTTGAAACCAAGACCCGCGTCCGCGACTACGGCTGCTAGGGCCACAACAACGACGACGAAGCAGTCGCTGGGCGGCGTTAACGGCACGTCGAGACCTAGAACCGCGCCGACTTCCGGCGGCGCAACCAGGCCGCGCGAAATCGCCGGTAAAACAAGCACGATCGCGGCCACTAAATCGCCGTTGATCGATAAGCAGAGCAAAGAGACGGTGAACAAGCAAATCTCCCGTTCTGGAGCATCGGCGCCCAGGCTGGGTGGTCGCGCCACCGTGCCCACCGGCGCCACGAAGGCGCGCACGTCTGGGAAATCGTCGACCGGGAGCGCTTCCGCGACCTCGCCGACGAAGAGGACTCTGACGTCGAAGACCGCGTCGAAGAGCACGTCTGCCGTGACAAAGCGAGTGTCCCCGAGTGAGGCCAAGGTGGTGCAGAATGGAATTCTCAAGGAGGACATGATCATAACAGCGACGAGCAAGCCCGAGGACGACGTACCGCGGAAGGACGCGTCGCCGGTGAACGTGCCGACCGATAATCAGCTGATCGCCGATTGAACGGTCGATCGGTAAGCTGCGAACTGTCCGCCGCTTCGCGACAACACACGTCGGCCTAGGGATTGCGCGTCGTCACGGGTTTACGTGAACCGGCACATAGGTTTCTCCTCCTTATTATTGTTTAACGGACAGAGCACGACCGCGCGCGTCCGCTGGAGTAGTGTTTAGGGTGACATAAACATGTATGTTGAACCAAAAAAATTTTTTTTATCGTTCTTACGTGAATGCATACATATGTGACAGAGATATTCATCCATCGGCGAGAGCAAGGCATACCCTAAACATTGCTTTCGACAACTGCTGCCTTATCGTAATAAGGATCGATAGTCTTGTTATGTAAATATAATTCGGATGCGTTTTCATGCGTCATTACTTTCAACTGATCCGTGGGCCCGAGATTGTCTGGGAGAGAGAGAGAAAGGAAGAGAGTGCCTCGTGACGGCCTGAAGATAGACTTTCAACTTCGATACGGCAGTACGTTAATCTTAAACTTTTAACGAAACTCGGATAAAATATATGGATTTTTTACAATTTTTTAATTTTATATACGCATTATAATTGATAACGATTGCTCGCGACCCAATTTTACTTGAATGACATACGAAAAACACATGGAAAGGAGAAGAGGGAAGCGTATATTTATTCTTGTTTGTTCCTATTTTTGAAGTTGAATTCATTGCGAGATATATATGGACTCGTAATCATGATAATATAATGCTATCTAATCTATGTGTACAGCACCCCTAATGGTTTAATGTGATACCTTACAGTACTATTAAATAAATTCGAACGATACACAAGAGGAGCCAGAAAGAATACATTTGCATATGTATTTGAGCGGAGAAAGAGAAGACGAGCGGAATCCAAAGGTTCAGCGAGAAAGAATAAGATTCAAGAGAATTGGAGGAAAAACAAAATACCGTTTCTTTTTGCGGATATGATATCACGGTCTTTTTAGAATTTCTCTAAACGTTTGGATGCCGCTTTTCGCACTTCTCGACGCACTTTTCAGCGTCAATGATCGTCGCGTGCGAGCGCGTTTAAGGCTTTTGTACACCGCACAAATCTCAATTTCTTTCCTCCTGCGTTCGACGCTTACACTGTTAGAGCACGCGCTCGGACCGACGGCGTTCAATACTGCAGAAATTTCGGTCGAAGACTGTTTCCTTCCTTTTTTTTATTTTTATTCTGCTTGATCGTGAAATGTTATCTTTTTCGTCTGATTTTATCGGAACCGAGACATGCCCGCGATGGTCTCTAAATGCGCAGAACGATGCTCGTTAAACGAGCGCTCCCGCGAGCACGACGAGATCGAGGATTAAAAAGATCGGCGAGTCTTTTTAAGACGAATACGTTTTACGCAGATGAGAAAACGCAGCAAGTCCTGTGTGTAAGGGACTCGCGATGCCGATCACGCACAATATTCGATATGATATTGCATTAAAATGCGGCTTCGTATCAAGGAGAGAGAGAGCATAGCTTAGCGTTTCACACGCGCGTTTCGTATACATGTAATTCCGATTTTCCTGTGTACGCGTATTTGTCACCATTTTATTCTTCTCTTTTTTTTCTCAGAATTCATAACTGAATAAATAAATATTACGTTTGAACGGTGTTATTCAGCATTACATCCTGTCATTCTCGCCTCTGGTCTCTCACCGCGGGCGTCTCTGAGGGAAATGGAGCGGTGGACGGAAAGGAAAGAAAAGAAGCACTTTTACATTTCAATTCTCTTTAATCAGGTGTGATGTTATGTACCGTTCGTTATGTACTATTTAAATTAGGAACCGGCTCTACAGTCTTTTGTACGTACGCTTGGCTTTAACGTCGCTCTTGTTGGAGGATAGGTGCTGAAACGAGAAAGAAAAGGAAACGCGTGAGACGTACTTTGTCATCGTTATTTGTGCAGGATCGCTGGTGTCGTGTAACATTGTCACGCGTTTACGGCAAGTGCTTCAAAGCGTTCTTCTTTCAAGGTGAAGAAAGACACTTTGAAGCACCAAGTGGACCGCAGTCTGCATCGAACATATGTCTATAACTTTGTCGTCGTTGATATCGGAGTCTTACCACGATCATCCCGGTGTCTGTGAATTCGTAAACTCGGATTGCCTTGAGGTCCGCGGCCAAGGTGGTCTCCGTTTTGAAGCCGTTGCCCTCCTTCGTGGTCACGCTCTGCGATACAAAACGAACGTGTAATTGTAGTCGTCGATCATGCTTATTCTAAAGATACAGCACTCTCGCGTCGAGCGCAAAGTGCGTAAGTTTTGCGTTCAAGTTGCCGGTGACCTTTGTATCCTTCGGCCGCCTCCCGTGCGCTTCTGCGCGAGAGCAAGATTCATCTATCTTCCATCATTTAACGCGTAGATTGGCGCGAGGCTTGCACATGGTGCGCAAGAAATCGGATGTAAGTTATGCTTCAGCTAATCGTTCTCCGCGCGGAGAACAATCCGTCTAACGTTACCTCTTCTCCCGGAATATCGAATCCTCCTTTCCGAGGCTGCGTGGAAGAAGCTATTCCAAGTGATAACTTTAGACGGATCGTTATATTGTAAAGCTCCTGGTCGCGTGAATTTCAATTGTTCGTACTCGATGACCTGATGCGAGTCTTTCTGCCAGCGGAACCCACCTTGAAAACGAGGCCCTGGGATGGAAGCTGCTCGTCATAGACCTCGCCGGGCTTGAAGGTGGCGGTGACGGTCTTGCCTTGGCTGGTGACCACGACGACCCACTGGTCACCGTTCTGCTGGATCTCCACGACCGGCGTGGCCTGCAGGAACGCGTCGGCGAGGTCGGCCTTGCCGAGGCTCTTGATGTAATCCTCGAAGTTCTCGCTCGACATGTACTGGTACTTGCCGACTATCTGCATGGTTGAACGTGAGGAGTGGCTGGTCGCGTGCACAAGTCAGAAGCTGAATCGCCGCCGAAGAAAGACGAACGGCGCGCCGGGGCGCGCCGGCTTTTATAACGATATCCGGGGGGGATTTCGTTAAGGGATCTCGCCGGTCCCGCGCGCGACAGAGAGAGAGAGAGAGAGGGTGGGAGGGTACCGCCGGCCAATCTGCGATGATTCCAGACAAAGTATTCGACGGATTATCGTCGACGGGCTGATAGAGACCGGCCGGTTCGTCTGTCCTGTCGCTCCATCATCGCTGCTGATGGTACCCCTCGCGCACGCTGGTGGATGTGCCGCATTTATTTGCGTCTGTGTGCGTCGCTCCGCTCGCGACTCTTACATCCTGCGCGCTCTGACTCAGTGAATTTTAATGCCTTTCTTAATGTCTTTTAGAAGGACCCCCCTCTGCGACGTGTCGCCGTGGCGCGGGATCAATTTTGTCGTTGCGTTTATCTCGCGTCAACATTTCCAGACGCGCTTCGTTTCTGACGTTGGATATTTTAAGGATGTATTGGACGTACAATCTTAGACAGAAGTGCATGAAATTGGAAATACTTGAATATCTACTCTTAACGCATAGTAAATCTAGATGTAAGAAACTTGAACGATAGTTGGAGTCTTATTTGTACTCCTACAAAGGTATTTTTCACTTTACAAATGTCTTCCTGCATTATTTGCGATTTTTTTCACTTATGAGCCTAAACTTTTGATAGTGAAAATACCCTGATTTCAACTTAATAACGTCAAAGATTTTCAAAACTAAAAAAAATTCGTGCTGACAGCACGAATATCTCAAGTTATATTTTATTTCTTTAAAACAGTGCAGTAAAGACTATTGAAACTTGATAGATAATTTTCATCCATTCGTATACTAGATGTATAAAAAAAATTCCAAACACTGCTACTATTTCTTCTACATTTTTTTAGCCGTTTTATCCGTGAAGATCGGCTCTTTCCGTAAGAGTACGTGTAAAATCAGTGTAAATTAAAATAGTTATATCTCAGTAACCGTTTAGTGGATGCATTTTTACTTTTCTGCAGTACATTAGGAAGACTAAAAGAACAATTTCGCAAATTTTTCGCGACTTTGTACTATTTTGAAGATAGGTCCGATACATCCTTAAACGACGGAACTCGCGAATCCTTGGAAATCTCATCGCTTACGCTACACTGTAGCATTATTTCTATAAACATACGAGTTGAACGTGTATTTTTTGCTACACATCTTATTAGGAAACGAGATGGGGAAAAAATACATGCGATTATCGTCTCAATAGTCTCCCCTCTCTCTCTCGCTCGCGTGTTACTTAAACATTAACGTCGAGCCCAATATCAAATTGATAAAGCAATCGCTAAAATTTATACATCTAAATTCCAAGAAGTCCAAGTATCACGTTCGAATGCGTCGCGGTCGAGTTGATCGATATAATAAAATACAAAAAGTCAACATTATGTCAAACAAGATCAGATAAATCGCCGACGAACGAGCAATCGGTAAATTGTATTTGCAAAGTGACTCAACGAGACTTTAAGTTTCGACGCAGCCTAAGTTAACAGTCGTTAACTGAATTAGAGGAGTAAGATAGGCCGATTTACTTAAATTTTGCACGTCGTCGGTTATCGATCGATCCTCTAAACTTTATCGCGTATCTGCCCCGAGAGCGGACCCTTTGCTAAACGCGCAAACAATATCCGCGCCCGCTTATCGCGCAGGGGGCAAAGTTAAGCCAGCGGGTAGATTTATCGCGGATCGATGGACTGGGCGCACCGGCTGTAATTTGAATAACACTTGAGACCGAGCGTCGATCACGTTACGTAGAAAAATACAAGTCACGTATGTACATTCCGTCCGATGTGTCACCTGTTCGTTAACAGTTTTCCCCCCTCCGCGAGACCGATCGCGAGAGGAGGATTCCTCGCCGGCGCAACGGCGATCCGGCGCGCGGAAAGTAAATGCCGATGAAAAAAAAGTTGGCGAGAGGCTCTTATCTAAAATTTGCTCGATAGATACGGCTAATCGTGACACATAACGCGCACGCACGTATTTATATCTCGGCCGTGGGTCAAGAGAAACGGTTCCAGCGAGCGAGTTCCATCGCTCCACGTTTCACGGTCGCTAAATGAAGGTCAATGTTCACCGCCGCTCGTTAATCATTAATAATCGTTGTCGTAAGAGACGTTTGGCCGTTTCCGTTAAGCGGAGGAAAAAATGCGTCATCCTCGTACAATTAGCAACGAGAAAATCATCCAGCGTAGCGGAAATGAATCGGAAGATTCGTTGCGTCGCTGGAGAGTCTCTAAGATCCTCCGCTCCGGTTTCGGCGATTCTTCGATCAGATTTCGCGATTCCCTGAGCCTGCAAGAATAATGCGCTCGAAATTTCAAGTGAGATTTCTCAAGCAAGAAAGATCTAACCGTAGCAGCACAATATATTGACGCAATATCGGGAAATAATATGAATCTACCCAGATAGCACACTGAATTCACAAAGTATTCTTATAAGTTTTCTTTTTGCTGAATTGTAATTCTTTAGGAATTCATAGAAGAATACAATAAGAGTGACAGAGGAAGTTACATGCACCATAAATCGTTTTCCTGACAACTTCTTAAAGTATTCATCTCGAATTCAATAAATGTAAACTTTATGAATTCAAGGGAAATAGTGTTAGAACAAAGAGGATTACAAAATATTTACCCAATGTATGTACACATCTAATATGCAGTAACATTACACCATTATTATAATTTCTCACTCAACAGTGAGATACTCTCAACCGAAGCTCGTTGACAATCGGATGATTCTTCCATTTTGGTTCTCGTCGTTCGATTCTTCCGTTTCGATTCTCGTCGTTCGATTCTTTCTTTTACACAATAGAACTATTGCACAAAATTAATTGCACATAACGTTACGCACACAAAATATTACACGTGGTAACACGCTGCACAAGAACGTCCGGATGGCGGTTAGCGGATACTCGCGCATGACAAATAATTCCTCATAAATTCTTAAAGTATTCACAGTACTGAATCGCGAAGTATTCATTATAATGAACTTCAGAAGAATACTTCAAGACGAACTGATTGAGGCTAATTCTTCAAGAATTCTTCAGATATTAATTTTTCTAATTCTGTATGTTTTCTTTAAAATGAATTCTCTATGAACTTATGTTCATCTTTGTGCTATCTGGGTATAGTGTTCCCAATATTGGTCCAATATTGTAAGATGGATGCCTTCTCTTATTCAGCCAATATGTCCAGCAATATTGGTCCAACATTGTATCAATATTAGACCAAATTCTTATTACATTGTTAAATATTGGCCAGTGCACTTCCAATATAAATTCAATATTATGTAATTATTATCGTGCAATATTCACATTCATTCCACGGCCAATATTGGCTTTACGTTGGACAATATCGGCCAATGTGTTTCTAATATAACCAACATCGGACCAATGTTTAGCCAATGCACTGCGCTGCTAGCGAAGGCTATAGCGTTATAACGAATAAAGATTGTCACTCCTCGTGTATTACACGCAGGAGGCGGTTCCTTTCCACGTAGAGATGCGCGAATTACTTGGATACAAGTCGAATCGCGTGAGATTCGATTCGAATTTCAACTGTTTCACATTTACGGATCTAGATACACTTGAAATGTGAATCATGTCAATTTTATGAAATCGTACTTCCCGTTAATAAACAATGCAGAACAGTCATATTAATAGGAACATTAAGTGGACTCACAATCAGTGAGCTCACCGAGCAGCTAAGTAGCAATAGAACATGATTAGTTCTTATCTTGGGATCCAAGGCAGAGAGTATTGATAATAAAGTAGAATATTTTGTTTTCTTGTAATTACTCACGTTATTGAATGCTACATTAAAGTAATGTAATAACCGATCTATGATTTTCGACATTTTACATCGAATAAAGGAGAGTTTGCTTATTGTCGCCAGTGATGATTAAAGATCGAGACGGAAAACTTACAATCAACCCAACTGGCTAGTTATTTAATTTATTACACAACGTTTCGACCCTGTTTTTTTGGGTCCTTTTCGAGTGACACTAAGTCATCGTCGTCGAATAAGACAGAGTCGAGTTATAAAAAGTGATTTGAAATGACCAAGAAAAAAACTTTTTTTAATTCGACGACGATGACTGACTTAGTGTCACTCGAAAAGGACCCAAAAGAGTACAGGGTCGGAACGTTGTGTAATAAACTAATTAAATAACTAGCCAGTTGGTTGACTATAAGTTTTTCCCGTCTCAATATTTACATCGAAATATTAAATATTTAAATATGTCTTTTTAACTTCACTAAACAAATTAGCTGTTAATCAAATCAATATTATTTTCCTACGTGAATGAAAAATATTAC